AGTCTCACAGGCTTTCCTGCCCAGGCTGGCTTTGAACCGTAATTCTCAGCTGTCAGCCTCCTGAGTAGTTAGGATTATAGGTGTGAGTCACCAACCTCCAGCTTGCAAGGAGTTTTTCTACTAACAGGAACTTTGGTTCCTTTTCTCCCACAGCAATTTCGAGCCAGAGGAAGAGGCTGGGGCAGAGGCAATTACTCTGGTAACAACAACAACAGTAGCAACAATGACTTTCAAAAGAGAAGCCGAGAAGAGGAATGGGATCCAGAGTACACACCCAAAAGCAAGAAGTATTACTTGGTAGGTATCTGGGCCTAATTGGGAAGGTGTAGAGAGCCCTTGGCACATGTAGTAGATAATTCCAATGTCTTAATTGGTCTGTCCAGCCCTGTGATTAAATTCATGTGCAGGTATATTGCACTGGAAATGTATACTTGCTTCATAGTAGCACTGTTTTCTAGAGAGGTAAGTAATTCTTGGCTCTAATAGGGTTTATCATCTAAGACATTTATGGATTCTGGATAAGCCTAGCCTTGTTTTACTGCTCATGTCTTGTGTCATTCAGAAGTGCAGGATTGACAGGAAACCATCTCCAGATCTCTTTTCTTTTTGGTCGGTCATGGGGCTTCAACTCTGGGCCTGGGCACACTGTCCCTCAGCTCTTCAGCTCAAGGTGAGCGCTCTACCACTTGAGCCACAGCACCACTTCTGGTTTTCTGAGTGGTTTATTGGAGATAAGAGTCTCACAGAGTTTCCTACCTGGGCTGGCTTTGAACTGCAATCTTCCTATCTCAGCTTCCTGAATAGCTAGTATTACAGGTGTGAGCCACCAACACCTCTGGAATAGAATGTTACTAAAATTTCTATCATTTAAACTTTCATACTTATGATCTCTCATGTTGGGGCATTTGTAAAATGAGTTATCTGGTCAGGAAATGAGATTTCTTGGCCTTCCTGTGTTAGAGCAGGCCCAGAATCAAGCAGGTGTGATTGAGTATTGGACCAAGGTAAAGCTGAGTCTCCATCTCTTACCAAAATGACTGCCATGAGTCTATATTGTCAGTTCCACAGTTTGGGAACAGGTTTCTGAGTGGATGGCTGCATCCCTACTCTCCCTTTTCTAGGGCTATTGGAAGCTGCTTGGAGGCTTCTATAAGGGTGTCTGTCTGTCTCTGTCTGTCTGTCTGTCTGGGCATGGGAGCTTTCCTTGCCCTCTTCAGCTCAAGGTAAGTGCTCTACTGCTTGAGCCACAGCACCACTTGCGGTTTTCTAGTGGTTTATTGGAGGTAAGAGTCTCACAGACCTTCCTGCCTGGGGTGGCTTTGAACTATGATCCTTAGATTTCAGCCTCTTGAGTAGCTAGGATTACAGGCGTGAGCCACTGGCACTTGTATTCATCTCTAGGGAAGTATTTCAGGCTGGAGCTAGGTTAGGTGCTGGAGTTGATAGTGGAGGTCAGACCTTGTTGTGGAAGGAAAGATTAAAGCCCTTTCCTTACCTCTTATTTGCCACTTTAAGGCATCTTGCTTGTCTGGTCCCTTCATTGTGGTATACAAAAGCCTTGGTCAAAAGAAGATGGCACTCAGCCTAAGGCCCTAGCTTGTGTGAAGTCAAGTGTCTGTCTTAATATGTCACACTGCTTCCTGTGTTTTGGATGGGTATATAGGGAGGAAAAGATAGTTGGGTACATTTTGGTGGCTATAGAGAAAAGATCTATAACACTGATGGCAATTTTCTTCCCCCTCAGCATGATGACCGAGAAGGTGAAGGCAGTGACAAGTGGGTGAGCCGGGGCCGGGGCAGAGGAGCCTTCCCTCGGGGCCGAGGTCGGTTCATGTTCCGGAAATCCAGTACCAGTCCCAAATGGGCCCATGACAAATTCAGCGGAGAGGAAGGGGAGATTGAAGATGACGAGAGTGGTACAGAGAACCGAGAAGAAAAGGATAGTCTACAGCCCACAACTGAGTAGGGGCCACACTTGATGGGAGCCCTTGCCCAGGGGTGAGAGGCGCTGGTAGAGGCTGGCAAGGAGCATAAATAAAGAAGCCTTGGAGATTCTGAAAACCCCACCCCCCACCAGCCCCACAGAAGCCTTCCACAGCAGAAAGCTTCCCTGCGCCCCATCCCACTGAATAGAGAAGACCTGCCTGCTACAGAGCGAGGGCTCAGGCCCGGGTTTGATCAGAACACCACCCATCAGGCTCTAGCTGTGTTTCTTGTTTCTTGTTAGTGTGTGGTGGGGCTGGGATAGGGAGGGAGAGCGATGCAGATGCTTGGATTTGGTTTGTTACTTATAGAAACCAACAGTTTTGTTCTTAATTTCATTTGGAGCGGATACTTACTTGATTTTTTTTTTCCCAATCTCTTTCTTGTCCTGATTTTAAAAGCCCTTTTACCCTCCCTTTTCTCTTTCTTTCTTTTTAGAGATATGTAGTATTAGCAGAAAGATTTAATTTGGGCAACTGATTCTTGAGAAAAGCATGTGAATAAACATTGAAGTGTTCACCTCAGTTTGGGACCAAACTGCTTGTATCTTTGTAAAAATCAGTTTTGTATGTCAAGGAGGAGTTTAAGGCCTTTCTGACCACCGTGTGTTCCCCTTTCTGTGCAGCCTTGTATCACATGGAGTTGCTCCTGACCACTCCCCATGCGTCCCTGCTCCTGTATTTTCTGATTTCTGGGCTGGGCTTCCCATTCTCTACCAGCAGCTCCAGTATCCCAAACTTTCTAGTCTTGCTGATCCTCAGCACCAGGGGTGGAAACTGGAGGGCAGTTTCTGGTCTCTTTTCTAAGAAACTTCTGACTTCTATTATCTTTACAAATATAAGATGAGAAAATAATTTTTTCAATATTTTTTATTAATCTTTTTATAAAATGAAAAGAAACTCCTATGACGAGTTAAGGAAGGTGATTATGGCTGGGTGGTTTGTAGGGTTGTGTGGTTTTTGTTGTTTTTTTTCTTTTTAACCTTAAGCTTTAAATTGAAACATTCTCAACTGTTTGGGGGGGGACATCCTCTTAAAATGGGTCCTTGTGCTTGCCTTCTGGGGAGGCTGTCCTGAGCAGGTGAATCATATGGCATTTGTTATATATGGACTGCACCCTCCTACTCCCCCCAACTTTTGCTCTTGGGTTGTGCTACTTTCCCCTTACTTTGCTACCTTTCTATAGTTAAGTTGGTTTTACTTGAATGATTCATATTTAGGGGAAAAAGGAAAACACCTTTAAGATTTGTTTCAACTCCTCCTGCAAATAAAAATAATAAATGAAGTGGCAGATCTTAACTGGGCTGTTCATTGTTCCGAGTGTGTGAATGTGTCTATGCTGTTGGGGTGGCAGGTACTCCCACAGCAGTTTCAGGATACCTTAAGGTCAAGAACTTGGAGATGGTGCCTGCTGAACTGCCACTAGGCTGGCCCTCTTGTGGCCTGCATTCAGCTGATCCCTGGGAGGAATTTGAGCCAAACATACCTTCTGTCCTCAGTAGTTTTGCTGCAGCTTGCGCCTTGGATGCCCTGTGAAGCAGACTTTTTTTTTAATTGCTGAACAAGGACTTTGACTGCTTGTGTGGTTTGTCAGGGGTCAAGGGGCTATGGTTAGCTGTCTGGGCCTTTCTTAAGTCGTTTACCTAGCAGTTAGCTTGAATCTGAGCTTAGCCCAACTGGGGCTGGCAGGTAGGTGGGTCCTAACCTTCAGACTCTTGCTAGCGCTGGGCTTGACTATAAACTCAAAGTTCATTCTTCCTGCCTCCCTCCACACACAGCCCCATCTGCACCTAGCCAAGGCTGCAGAGCAAGAATGGGGACCAGAGTAGACGGTACTTAAAGCCGCTTGTTGCCTGTTGTGGGGTGGGGCACCCTGGTATGTACCACTCCCCGCCTTCCCCTGCAGCCAAAGGCTTGCAAGCCAGAAGTTGGCATCTACCTGGCATCCAGGTAGATGATAGGAGCCTCTTGGCCTTGGCCGGGAGAAGGAAAGGCCACTAAACTAGAAGTTATGTAGGCGGGGAAGAGCTAGTGTGGGAGCTGAGACCCTGCTGTCATCCAGTTGGGACTGAACCTGTTGAGCCAGGCCGCCCCCTCGGCACCGGGAACCTGGCCTATGGCTGGTGTCTCCGCCTCCTGGGCTCTACCGTATTACAGTACGTCCCACCCTAACCCGGTCCAGTCCAGGGCCACCAGCTTGACGGACCTGGCTCGGGAGGACACCTCGGAAGCCATGGGTATGTGTGGAGGGCTTGACTTACCGTGCAATGGCGTGGAGCCATAAAACCACCCCACCCGGCCCTCCCGCCGACCTCTACGCGGAGTGGAGTCGGGTTGGTCTGGGCCGCGCCCGCCAAGGCTGGTCAGTCCCGTCTGGGCCTTTCTGAGCCGGGCCCTCCGCCCGCAGAGGTCCTGGTCCTGGCCGGATACCGCGCGCAGAAGGAGGGCGAGCTGAGCCTGGAGCCCGGGGACGTGATCCGGCAGGTGCGCGAGGGGCCTGCCCGGGGCTGGCTGCGCGGAGAGCTGGGCGGCCATTGTGGCCTCTTCCCCAAGCGCCTGGTTCAGGTGAGGCCCGGCCCGGAACGGCTTGCGGGGCACCTCTCCGCGCGCCGCCCAAAGGCTGAGCCCCCTTCCTGTGCGCTCATTCCAGGAGATCCCAGAGGCCCTGCGAGGCCCGGGGGAGGCGCGAAAACCGCGCCGCCCGCGCCGCCCACGCCACCCAGGTAAACCCGGCGCGGGAGGAGGGGGGCGGGCTGGGCATGGGCGCGGCCCTGGGAGGGGCCGTGAGGTCGCTTTGCGATCTGTGATTGGTTCTGAGTACAATGCCCCGCCCAAGGGCGGGGCTTGGAAGCACTAAAGGTCGGGCTAGAGGCTTGTCCCTCCTTCAGCTCCTGGGACTCGGGCCCCTGCTAAGCTGCAGCCCCCACCCCGCCCCTCCCCCGCATTCCTGTGACCCAGGTCACCCCACCAAATCTTGGGGCTCCCAAAGATGGTGCAAAGTGAACTTCAACTACAATCCAGAGCAGAAGGACGAGCTAAAGCTGCAAGCTGGGGAGACTGTGGAAATGATAAAGGAGGTGAGGGGATGGGGGGATGAGAGGGTTTGGGGGAGATGATGAGGTGTCGCACTAGCCAGGGGAGTTGAGCGGAATGAGAGTGGGGGCGATGGGAATGGTGAGAGGTGCCGAGAAGGGGAAAGAGGGACCAGGGGAGCTGGGGGTATTCAACAGAAGTGAGGGCACAGAGCCCCTTGGGGGCAGAGCCAGATGCCCCTGCGTCCTCCCTCCTCCCTAGATTGAGGACGGCTGGTGGCTGGGGAAGAAGAACGGGCAGCTGGGAGCCTTTCCATCCAACTTTGTGGAGTTGCTGGACAGTGGGCCCCCAAGTGAGACCTTGAACCCGCGACCCCTTTTGGGACCAGACTCTGCTATTTCCAATGACCCTCCCAGTAACATGAGCCTGTGTCTGTGATGCACATATCCAGACCCTGAAACCCTTCTTGATGCCCCTCCCATGCCTTAACTGAATTAGCATGTCCCTAACTTTGCTATTCCCACCAGGCCTTGGTAACCTAGATATGCCTTCAATCAGTCCTGATCCCCAGCGACATTCCAAGGTAAATCTGGTCAGAGTGGGCCAAGAGGTGGTGAGTTATTGGGATGGTATTAAGCTCATCTTCTCTCCTGCCCCTCTCCTACTAGCTGAGCAGCCTGACCTATGACAGCCCTCCAGATTACCTGCAGACAGGTGAGCACCCAGCCAAAGGGAAGGGAAACCATTAGCCTAATAAATGAGGGTTAGCTCCAATGGACTGGCCTTTCCCTCAGCCTTCTGCCCTGAGACCTGCAGGGTCCTGTTTGACTATGAGCCAGAGGCCCCAGACGAGTTGGCACTGCGGAGAGGAGACTTGGTGAAAGTTCTAAGGAAGGTGTGAGGATACTTGGGAGGACCCAGGAGAGGAGGTTGTGAAGGAGTGGGACCCAAGGAAGAGGAGCTACAGGAATGGCTCACCCCCGACTTTATGTTTCTCTTAGACCACAGAGGACAAGGGCTGGTGGGAAGGAGAGTGTCAAGGCAGAAGAGGAGTTTTTCCAGACAACTTTGTGCTGCCACCACCCCCAGTAAGTTCAGAGCTGGGCCCTCAGGTGGCACGGGGAAAGCTATTTTGGACAAACAGAATCATTGCACTTCCTGGAAATAGAAGGGCATATAGGCCAGGCTCCCTAAAAGCATCTGAGGTATAGTGTTGTCTAGAGAGTCACGTCACCCAAGCTTAGACATGAGGGGACTTCTCTTTGGATTCTGGCACTTCTTTTCTCTCTAGATCAAGAGGCTGGTGCCACGGAAAGGGCTACCTCGGGAATCAGGTGGGTACCCAGGGAGTCGGGTTGGGGATTGATTTCTGGAAGATCCACCACTCCAGTTGCCCATAAACACCTGAAGTTTCCCCAGTGGTTCAGTATACAATGGGGCCCCCTCCCCTGTTGGTCAAGGACCTGACAAGAATGTGAGTCAGAAGTGTGTCAAGGCTGGGAATGTAGCTTAGTGGTAGAGTGCTTGACTAGCTTGCATGAAACTCTCGGTTCAATTCCTCAGTACCACATAAAAAGAAAAAGCCAGAAGTGGCACTGTGGCTAGCATTGAGCAAAAGCTCAGGGACAGTGCCCAGGCCCCGAGTTCAAGCCCCAGGACTGGCAAAAAAAAAAAAAATCATATGTTTGTGTGATAGTATGTGTCAGAATGTGGTTATCAACATTCTCCATGGATGGGCCATGAGTCCATGAGACTGTACATGTGTTTATGTATCTTGTAAGTTTGTCTGTGTATATCTGTGTGACTGACGTGATATGTCTCTTGACTTAACCTTTTAATAGGCATTGGACACCAAAATATACATATGTAAATAATTAATACCCATGATCTATCTGAAGATTGAAGCCAGCCTGGTCATATAAATCCATCTGAAAGACTCTCATCTCCAATTAACCAGCAAAAGGCTGGGTGGGAATGGAGATGTGGCTGAAGTGGTAAAGTGCCAGCCTTGAGCAGAAAAAGCTAATAAGAGCACAAGGCCTTCCTGAATTCAAGCCCTAGGACTGGTACAAAAAGAAAGGAAAAAAAAAAAAAACGGTGCTGGTGGCTGGTGCCTGTAATTCTTGCTACTCAGGAGGCTGAGATCTGAGGGTCACAGAGTTCAAAACCAGCCGAGCAGGAAAGTCCATTGAGACTCTTATCTCCAATTAACCACCAGAAAATTGGAAGTGGTGCTGTAGCTCAAGTGGTAGAATACCTACTGTGAGCCAGAAAGCTGAGCAAGCCCAAGACCCTGAGTTCAAGCCCAAGTACCAGCAAAAAGAAAAAGTTTGTGGAAGCATTATTATTTTTGTCAGTAACAGGGAAGGAACTCAGGGCCTCCTAGAGTCTTTTTTTTTTTTGTCAATTACCTTGAGCTCTTTAGCTCAAGGTGAGCACTCTACCACTTTAGCCACACCTCCAGAGTGGTATTTTGTGGTTAATTGGAGATAAGAGTCCCATACTCATGGACTTTTCTGCCCTGGGCTAGCTTTGAACTGAGATCCTGAGATCTCAGCATTTACTGTGGACTCATTTCCCTGGTTCTGAATAATTTTATAGTTCTTTATACACTTCAAATACCAATCCTTTATGGGAATACATGTTACCAATGATTTATCTCTGTGGCTTGTCCTCAACCAAGGCTGTGGAGCTGCTGGTCCGCACAGTGTCCCCACCCTGCTGCAGACATCCTCGAGCAGCAGGCAGCAGGCAGGCCTGGGAGCAGCATGAACACCATCACTTATAAATGCTTCTTGAATTTTCTTTTCCCTTGGACAATTTCCTAGAGCATGACGTGGTCATTTTGACATTTTTTTTTTTTTTTTTGTCGGTCGTGGGGCTTGAACTCTAGGCCTGGGCGCTGTCCCTCAGCTCTTCAGCTCAAGGCGAGCACTCTACCACTTGAGCTACAGCGCCACTTCCGGTTTTCTGGTGGTTTATTGGAGATAGGAGTCTCACGGTTTTTCCTGCCCGGGCTGGCTTTGAACTGCGATCCTCAGATCTCAGCCTCCTGAGTAGCTAGGATTACAGGCGTGAGCCACCAGGGCCCGGCCTCATTTTGACATTTTTATCCAGCTTTTTAGTTGCCTTTCTGGTAGGGGACTTGTCCATCACCTGATCAGAAGATTGTTCTGAAGTTCCCACTCCTCAGTGCACTTTTGGTTTACTAAATCTCTCTAGCTTTTTGACTCTATTTAGTCTGCTGTTTAACCTATACAAGAAATATGCTGAACATACACAGGTAAATAATGGGTTTGCATGGTTTCCTCCCAACCCCCAGAATGCTCTTCTCATCTCCACTAGATCAGTTCTTACTTGTTTTCCAAAACTGCCTATTTGTTCCTGATGGGCGCTTTGTTGCATCCACATCCTTAATTTAAAGTATTTTATACATAGCTATGTTTGTGGTATACTGGATGCTATATGGTAGGCTTCAGTAGCCTGTCTTCCTGAGTATTTTATGATCTATTTCCCCCCTGGTTCTGGGGTTGGAACTCAGGTGCTGTCATGCTTGCTCAGATTGCTTGCTCAAAGGTGGTGCTCTAGGCTGGGAATATGGCTTAGTGGTAGAGTGCTAGCCTTAAGCAAAAGCAGCTCAGGAGCAGTGTCCAGGTCCTGAGTTCAAGCCCCAGGAATAGAAAAAAAAAGTGGTACTCCTATTTGAGCTATGACTCTAGCCCAGACTTTTGCTGGTTAATTGGAGATGTCTTATGTTCTGCCCAGACTGGTTTCTAACTCCTATCCAGGTCTTGGCCTCCTGAATAGCTAAGATTGTATCATGAGCCTCTGGCAACTGTCCTATGATCTTTCTTTCTGAGCTCATGATCTGATATTATCTGTGAGAACTCTGTTCCATGCCTGAGGCCTCAGACTCAGGAGCCATAGAGTTGACTTACCTACCCTCTCACATAGGCCTTTCTGGCCTATGTGTTTCCCCCCATTTTTTGGGGGGGAGGGGGGTCCGCTTGTGGGGCCTGAACTCTGGACCTGGGCACTGTCCCTCAGCTCTTCAGCTCAAGGCTAGCGCTCTACCACTTGAGCCACGGCACCACTTCCGGCTTTTTTCTTTTTACTTAATGTGGTGCTGAGGAATTGAACCCAGAGCCTCAGGCATGCAAGGAAAGCACTCTACCACTGAGCCACCTTCCCAGCCCCAGTTCCCCCCTTTTTTTGTGTGTACTTCTACTGTCTTTTAAGTGGAGAAAATGTGGGAAAGCTGTGTCCTAAGCAGGATCTAAATGCTGTCTGTGGTAGGGCCTACAGAATACCTAATCAGCCATATGGCCTGGTTAAGGCATACTGAGCTCTGACTCCCTGCCAAGTAGTCATTTGCTCCAGCCTCATAACAACCCTACATAGTTGTACTATCTATGCTTCATCAATGAGGACAGTGGGACACAGGTTACCTGTACACAGAAAGGAGCTGGAATGAACAGTCTGCTGTCTGGCTGAGCCTCCCTGATCTTACTCCCCATGGCTCACTGTCAGTGGAATTGTTTGTAGCTATCTTTGTGATCTTGTGTGTTAGCATGTATGCACAAACCAGAGTGGCTGCTGGTGTGTCTATGGACGTGAATGTCACATGTCTGATGCCCTCGATGTCCCCTCATAGTGGCCTTCTCTAACCACCCCCACTTAAAACTGTATACTGGGCTGGGAAAGTGTGGTGTAGAGCGCTTGCCTCCCATGCATGAGGCCCTGGGTTCGATTCCTCAGCACCACATAAAGAGAAACAGCCAGAAGTGGTGCTGTGGCTCAAGTGGTAGAACACTAGCCTTGAGCGGAAGAGCTCATGGACAGCCCTCAGGTCCAGAGTTCAAGATCCATGACTGACAAAATAAATAAATAAAACTGTATACTCGAGAGCTGGGCGACAGTGACCCAAGCTTGTAATCCTAGCTACTGGGGAGACTGAGATCTGAGGATCGCGGTTCAAAGCCAGCCCAGGGAAGGAAAAGCGGTGAAAATCTTACCTCCAATAAACCACCAGAAAACTGGAAGTGGCACTGTGGCTCAAGTGGTAGAGCGCTAGCCTTGAGCTGAAGAGCTGAGGGACAGCTCTCAGGCCCGGAGTTCAAGCCCCATGACTGACAAAAATAAATAAAACTATACTCATGGTACTATATAGCCTACACTACATAACCTGCAGTCATCCTAGCTATTTAATTCCTTTAGAACTAGGATCTCACTTGAGCCCAAGAGTTCAAGATTAGCCTAGGCTACATAGTGAGAGCCCAGCAGCACAGGGCCAGGGACTGTTAGGTGGATGGATAAGTAAAAAAAAAATTACTTCACTCTTTTCTTTCCTCCCAGCTCTCGTTAAGGAACCCAAAAAAATGACGCCCAGACCATCCCTCTCTACTACCAAGAAGCTGACAGCAACTACTTCTTTACCCAGCAAAGCAAAGTATGGAGCAGGGGGGCATTAGGGCAGGAGGAGGGCACAAAGGAAATGCCTTCTCTGCTGCCAAGTCAGGGCTGATGGGGAACATGTTCCAGGATGCCTTGGATACCCAATGGGGATGGGCAGAAGCGCTCCTCCAGAGACTCTGGTGAGAGCTTCCTTCCCCCAGCTGGGAGACCTGGGGGAGAGGGTGGTATGCTGGGGGATAGAGAGGGATTAGAGATGAGCAGACCCTGAGGTCCCGTTTCCATAGGTGCCAATGGCAACTTCCTCAGTGGAGGTCCAGGGCAACCTGGCAAGAAGCGATCCAGAACCCCGGCTCCTGGGCAGCACCCTACATCCAGTCAGGTGAGAGGTAGGAGGCAGCGTGGGAGAGGGAATGCTGGGTAGAGGCCGGTACCCAGGGGTGTGGTGTGCAAGGGCAGAGGAGAGTCAGGTGGAGCTTTCACCCCCACTGCCACAGGAGGAAGAGCAGAGAAGGCTGGCAAAGAGCTCTTCCAGGAACAAAACCCCCACGGGTGATAAGATCACCACCGCAGAGAAGACCCCACCTCTCCATGAGGTCTCCAGCCTAAAGAAGACGACCCGGTCTCTGCACAGGGCCTCCAGTGTGCAGATAGTCTCTTCTATGGATAAGACCCCTGCTTTAGAAACCCCATCTAAGGATGAAGCCCTTGACCCAAAGGTCCCTTGGGAGGACAAAGCCCTCACCCCAGAAAAGCCGTTGACTCCTGAGCAGGTGCTTTCTGAAGACATCGCCCCCAGAGACACCCAGATACATCACTTCTCCCCGGAGGAAAGCCCGCAGAGGGCAACGTCTGGAGAGCCCCCCCGGAACCATCCCGGCATCGAGGGCTGCCTCTGTAGGAGGAAACAGGGGGACAGCTCCCCACTCCAGTCTAAGCTTGAGCCTTCCCAGGGAGAGGCCACAACTTTCCTCCATGCCAACGATGACACTACTCCGAAATTGGAGGCGTCCCCCAAAGAACCTCTAAGAGAGGTGACCCCTGAGGAGCAGATGCCTCCGAAAGAGAGATCTTCCACTCCCCAGACACCACAGACTACGAAGCAGACTCAAGATGCCCAAGAGACTCCCGCCCTTCATTCCCGGGGCAAGAATGACCAGACGGATGGAGTGGCACTGAAGGAGGAAGTGGAGTCCCTCAGGAGCGCGTTCGAGCTGCTGCAGCAGCAGCTGGAGTGAGTGGCGGCGGCCGGGGGAGAGGGAGGGGTGTCCGCCCCCCATCCCCACCTCACCTGGGCTTCCCGTCCCCAGGAAGCAAATGACTGACGTCTGGGAGGAGCTGAACCGCGAGAGGGAGAAGCGCCTTTGGCTGGAGGTGGGTGGGGCTGCACCCCGGCGGGAGGGAGGGGGGAGGGAGGGCCCAGCCCTGACCCACCCCCTTTCTCCCAACTAGGCTCAGATGCTGCGGAAGTCAGAGAAGTCTCCACCACCGAGTTTCAAGCACGCGCAGACGCAGACGCAGACGCCGTGAGGGCGGGCGCGGAGGAGCCTCCGTCGGGCTCTGGCATCCCAGTCCGTGCGCACAGCTTTGGGAAATGCAAGGAAGTAAACTGGCCTGCCTGCCGCCTGCCTGCCGCTCGGAGCTGGCCGGGGGGGGGGGGGTCGGGCTGTGCGGGACGGGGCGGGGCCGCCCCAGCCCGGCCCCTGGAATTCCTGGAGGTCTCTGGCGGGCACATCTGGCCCACATGTGGCTCCCATTACGGTTCCCAAAGCCTGCGCGGCTATTTTTATCCACCGGATGGAGGGGGGCGGGGCAGAGGGTGTCTCCTTCAAGACGCCAGCCCTGCGCTGGACCTCGGCGGTGGCGGGCTGGGGAGAGCCACAGCCGGCCGATTCCGGAATCCAGCTGTGCAGCCGGAGCTGGGCTGGGAGCCCGACCCCTCCCAGGCGGCCACACCCGCTTGCTGCCCAGAGGAACTCCGGTCCACTCGATCACCTCGGCCCAGATAGGAGCTCCACCTGTAGCCTAGCTCAGGCACGCGTGGTTACACTGGGGCTGCCACCCTTAGCGTCACGGCCAGGCTCCGCGGGCCTGCTGCGTGTGACTGCAATTATGCCCGAGTCTAGGGCACAGTGCGGCCACGGGGACGTGTGCCCAAGCGTTTGCTGTAGGAATGCATGTGAGCGAGGGCCTGCTGTTGTCCTGGGTGAGCTGGAGAGGGGCGAGGTGTCTGTGAAGTGCCGGGGGGAGGGGGGGCAGAGGTCGTGGGTCCTTGGGACTCTAGTAAGGCCTAGCTGCGTGGCAGGAGCCTGGGGACCCATTGGGGGCAAAGGCAACAGAGGGAGAGACAGTCATTGAGAACGCTACTTTCATTGGTCACATCATCGTTCCCGGGGAAGAGAAGGTGGGGACCTTGCATCCTCCTCCCGCTCCCACCCGGGATGGGTGCCTCGCAGAAAGTGGCAGTCTATATCCAAATAGCACCAGGGGAATTCAGGAACCCAGGCAAGTCCAAAAGTCCTGGGGCCACCAGCTCTGGGCTCTGATACATGTCCAGTACTCCAGAGCCCCTTGGAAGCTGGGCCGGGCGTCAGTAATAGTGCATGCGACCCAGTGTGCCCGTGCCCGTGGGGCAGGGCCCCAACGTGCCAGTGCCCAGCAGATCCGGCTGCCCGGTGCGCCAGATCTCCCGCAGGATCCGCTCCCGCTCCTCCAGCCTCTGCGCGCGCTCCAGCTCCTCGGCGGACGTGAACACGTTGACGCTGAGCGGCCCCTCGGCCTCAGCCGACAGCTCGGCGCCCGGCAGCGTGTCGTCGGGGCCCAGCCTGGTCACCGTGTCTTCCTCCTCGTCGTCCTCGTCTTCGGGTTCCAGGGTGCTGCTGCGAGGGTCCCTGCGCAGAGCGGGGCCCCGAGGGCGCGGGCGGGGTGCGCAGGAGATGCTGATGACCAGCAGGCACAGAGTGAGCAGCAGGCCGAAGCAGACGCCCAGCACGAAGTAGAGGCCAAAGCTTTCAGGGTTGGCTGGGGTGGGGGGGGGAGGGGCAAAGGTCATGGAGAGTCCACCCCATCCCCGGAGACTAACTCCAGGTTTGGGGCCAGGGCTGGGGGATGGACGGGAGGGGAGGGGGAGAGGAGAGTGGAAGGGCCCGAGCGCGCGCACCCCGCTCCCGCGGTCCCCTCTCACCGCGGATGTGCGCGTAGGCCGCCAGGCTGTTGCTGAGCAGCTCCATGTCCCGGCGCGGGGCATCCATGCCGCGCGGGGGGCAGCGCCCCGCCAGCCTGCGGGAGCGGCCAGGTCAGCGCCCC